TGCTCAAACCTTTCGTTAACTGCTGCTCCGAATGATTTGTCTCTGCGGCATATACAGTGGGCCTGAAGAAAGATGCAGTTTTGGGGATCTCTATGAAGTTCTCTTTTCCTTTGTGAGAGTATCCTTAACTTTGGTAGTGCTCCTCTTTTTAGTTCTTTAACGACATTATGCACTATAAAAGTCTTTTATGAGCACTAATTGTCAGCGTCTCATAGATGCAAAATGTGACATTTTTAATTTGAAATCTTACAGGTGGGTCATATGAAATCATCTGAATGTTTCTACAGGGATCACCAAAAGATATTTCCAACCTTTCACTATGCATACCATTAAGACTTTTGAAATGTGAATTTGTTATTGTAGGTTCACACATTGACTGGTCGATGCTGGGATGTCTGTCTGGGTGATCATCGCCCACCAAGCAAGCTCGATGGAAAAACAGCCACGTGCCTCCAGGTATTGTAGACTTTATCTGCTCTGATTGAAAATCACTTTGAAATTTAGAATTGTGTAAACCGAATGATCGATGCCAGTAACTTTATGGTTGAGCATCTCCAAAAGATGGAAAGTGGCAAAGGAATATAAGCTGTTATACTCTGCTCTCCATGACATAGACTTCTCTTTTTTACGTAGACAGTGTGCTTACAAAAGAGTTTGTTTGAAAAGTTTTGTTTATTTAGCGTTGTTGTTCATATGTTCATAAGTTGTAGGTTGTTAATGAAACTTTGACTTGCTCTGTACGGTGACATGTAGTTGCGTGAGGACGAGAGCCTTTTCATTTCACAAGACTTATTCTGGTGTTGTTCATGTGAACAAAGGAAAGCATTGTCTATGATTGCGTTTGCTTATTTTTTGAGAATGTAACAAAATGATTTGAAATGGAATACACCTAGTATCATTTCCCCCACTAAAGAGCATCATATTATATTACGCTATAGGGAAAGCTTGCTAATAATTTCTCTAATTCTTCCTCAATTATTCTCGCTTCTTTTTTCGAATGGTGTAGTTGCACCCTTCGCGCTTCATCTAGGGTAGTCAGTTATGGGCACGAAGGTCATAGGCGTCATCCATCCTTTTTGGTCAACTAATTTCATGCATTTTCTATGGCAGTTTTGACAGAAAGCATCTTACTTTGTGCCGTTGCACTGACCATCACATTCTACAATCAGTTTATG